TGCTGCGTTTGGAAATGGAAAAAATTACATAGTTGAGGGTTTTAGGGTTTAGGGTTTTAGGGTTTAGGGTTGTAGGGTTCTAGGGTTTAGAGTTTTAGGGTTTAGAGTTTAGGGTTTTAGGGTTTAGAGTTTAGGGTTTTAGGGTTTTAGGGGTTTAGGGTTTTAGGGTTTAGGCGTGTCCCGTAAGAGCGAGTGTAGTATTGGGGCAAATAAAGGGGTTCCAAGTACCTCATCTACAGAAGTGATGAGTCATGATGGCTGCTGTACTGATTTTCGTCATTGTCAGCAGGATTCTAGATTGTCATACTTGACCAGGATATGGTGAAGGGCCCGGGTGAACAGACCGGTACTGAGAACAGCGTCACCAGGACCTACAGACTTTAGCTACAATGATGCATAGGTGAATGGTGAATATGCAGTGACGTCCCAAATCTTTATATTCAACCTGTATACAGAAGACTGAAACCCTCGATGCTAAAACTCAGGTGCTGTGGAAAGCTCGCGCAAATTCATCCATGCAGCCGACTTGCCGCGAGGACGGCAAGTTGGAGAAATAACCCGTCTTGGAATTATTGCAGCCGGTATTGCTATCGCTGCCGCTCCCGCTCCCGTTGCAGCTTGTGCTGTTAGCATTGTTCCGCTGCTCCTAGTGCGACCACTACTGCCAGTGCTGCAGCTGTTGCTCTTGCTGCTGCTACAACTACAGCTACAAGCACAGTCACAGATGCTACACCGCCATCGCCACCACCCCCCGCCCCCCCCACGACCACTTCCGCCACCTTCACCATCACCACCCAGCGCCACCACCGCCGCCACCACCACCATGACCGCCACGACCACCATGATCACCCACAGCATCCTACACTGACCGCCGCCGCCCTCATCACCAACACGACCACCGCCACCGCGCCACCGCGCCACCGCGCCACCGCGCCACCGCGCCACCGCGCCAGCGCGCCACCGCCCCTGCCCCCACCTCCGCCACCGCCGCCGCCACCACCAGCGTCACTGACTGCTTCGACCGCAACGGCGACCGCAAGCTCGAGCGACCGCGACCAGGAACATTAGTGATTAGTCTTCTTCCTACGTTCTTCGTTTACTTCACAGTCCTGCAAAGGACCTGGAGAACAAGGCTGCTTTCGAAGTGACGCGGGCGGAGAGGGTGGAATTTTGCGTGCGCCGCTTTGAAGATTTCATTGCCGCGTATGATTCTTCGGCCTTTTTTTCAGCACAGCTTTGATTTTTAGGTGCCATTGGGTTTGTGCGATCCTTTCGATGGATTTCCTAGTCAGGGTTGCGTGAGCGCACCCTGACTGGTGGCATGGCCATACAACCGTTACATGACAACGAGGCCTTTCACGAACCAGGGTTTCAAGTCTGTTGTTCTGTGTTGCTATTCTGACTAGCATCAAAAACTACCAACGTTAGGATTGGCGGAAAGTGGAGCCTTGGCATCGGGTACCTGAAGGCTCGCCCAAGCACCTGCAATTCCGCTCTCAGTTTTTTCCGTAAGATCAAGATTCTGCAAAGTGCTGGTCATTGCCAGTAGCGGTACCCTTGAATCCTGAACCCTAAACCCTAAACCCTAAACCCTAAATGGCAGGCCTCGAGATAGCGGTCAATCTACAGGAGGGTGGAAGCCAAGCTCGCATCCCACAGCCGTGGTCGTGGGACGTTCTCGTAGTTGGCCAGGCTGGCGGGAGGGTTAAGGATTTAGGGTCTCGGGTTTGGGGTTCCTTGTTTGGGGAATTGTGGGTTTTTTAATTTTTGGGATCTAAATTTTGGGGTTGGGAGTTTGGGTTTCACGGTTTTGGGTTCAGGGTTCAAGGAACGTGCAGCGTGGTGTTTGGGTTTAGGGACATTCTGTAGTCAGGGTAGAACGTATAACTCTCGAACCTTTAGTCTCGTGCAATTACGATCAGAGATTGCAATTGCATGAGTGTCTCGTGATACACTTATGCGGCTGTGGAGTTTAGGCTGTTCCATCTGCTTGCGGGGTTCCATAACAGCCCCGCCAACGGCCTGAGGAGGTTTAGGGTATAGCATAAGGAGGGGTTCATATTCTAAGCAGTCTATTGTTTTCCATCGGCATTTTTAATTCATACAGCCCCCACCCTATAACAATTTACCAAGATCGCAACTGTAGTAAGATTATATTATCTGTATATTCATGAAGGTCCTGTGCATGGAAGGTGCAAGCAGTATCCAACATATGAGCTATAGTCTAGAGTCCTAGTATCCCCCTAATACGCCCTATATAGTACTCCCTTCTATAGTCCCCTTGAAGCAGTTCAGACTATAGCTCAGAAAGGAGTTTCCTTGCAAGACATCCGTGTCTACATCTCGACTTGGTCTTGGTTCTCAGGCCAAAGCTCCAAACCGTCTGCCATGTCGAGCTTTTCCAGCCCAACGAAGATAGAGCCCACGAACAAACATGAAACCTGATAAAGGGCCCTACACGAACTACTGTCCCTTTCATCTTGGGCTTCCGAAGAGTTTTCCAAGAGCATGCAAAACAAAGATCAGCTTTTCTTTTGGTTTAAGGAAGGTAGGCTTGCTTTGAGCCGGAGAGTGTATAGTCCAGGCATCCTTGAAACTGCGGGGCTTGCATCTACTTCACCAAAGTAGAATCCTGGTTGCAAGCTCAACAAGGGGTGCGAAATTTCGATGAAGATTTCACGGATCCAGCAATCTTCCGACATAATTCCTGTAAAGTCCAAACGCGAGGAGATTGCATTGCGCCCCCGCTCACACCCCCGTGGGCTATTAGACCCTAAAATTCCTTATTAGGATCCTATTAACTGTAGATTAAGGTACCCTTAAGGTCTAATAGCCCATAGTGACAGGCGAAACAGACTGTCCAAGTCCGTGCCGACACCAAAATGGCTGATGTTCTCCAAGGTGGGACTTAATCAGTGGTGGCTCATAGCCTGGGTTTAGGGTTTAGGGTTTAGGGCATTATGACTTACTGAAGGTTAGTAGGTATCATATAGAGATTTTAAGGGAATTATACTTCCTAATTCCCTTTTGCTTTACCACACGTAAGATGAGTGGGTGTTTGGGGGGATCATTTCGCAACTCCTAAACCCCAAGCCTTAAATCTTCAACCCTACACCCTAGCCTAAATCCTAATGCCTAAACTCTAAACCCCAAAACCTAAACCCTGAACCCCAGACCCCAAACCCTAAACCCCAATGTGCCGCGGAGTCGGGCAAATCTCCAAGGCCTTGGCCTGTCCGACTCGACACATGAAGTGGTGCGAAGCCCAGTTTGGGGGCCCTAAACCCTAAACTCCAAACCATAAACCCTAAACCCTAATTTGTAGTTTCCGTGTTCTTTACCCATATCTTTATATAACCCTATAGATCTCCCTATTTTACCCGAATTTGTTTCATTAGTTTCCATTTTATGTCCCTTCGTACCCCCAGAGAGCTTAAGGTTCCTCAAAATCATATGCAGATATACGATTTGTTAATTGGTGGTTAGTAGGGAATAAGGGAATATAAGATACAGGGTATATATAGGGATGATATTCCCTTATTCCCTACTAACCTCTGGTAAGTATATGGGATGCATGGTTAGGGTTCAGGGTTTCTCAATGTTAAGGGTTCTTCTTTGGAGTATGTGAAGGCAGGCTACGTTTTGGGAAATATCCCGAAACCCTGATCCCTAAACAGCCTCGTGTACCTGAAGAAATAAACATAACGTGCCCTAGCACCCTCCACCAGTAGAGCATACCTGAACTCAAACATGCTCAGTTGGTTTAGTTCCCCGTTTCACGACCCCTAAACCCTAAAGCCTGAGCCCTAAATCCTACGGATGTCTTTCGTCGTGAAGGCGTAAAAGAGCCGATGCAAAAGAAAAAGCTAAATCCTAAACCTTAAATCCTAAGCCCCAGACACCCTAAATCCCAAACTGGCAAGGTTTGGTGTCAAGAAGGCGGATCTCACGAACGCGTCCTGCAGCCCAACTGGACAGCGGTTCAGGCCGTGGAAGTGCAGTGCACTTGACACAATCTGGGTTGCTGTTAAGGAACTTAAATTAAGTAACTATATTGGGGAAACCCTATTATTTACTATATATATACCCATTATGGTAACTTAATTTAAGTTCCTTAACAGCAACCCAGAATAGCGATACCAACGGTTGTGATCTTTGGACCTCCCTGAAATAATGAGAGTGATCTAAGGTTGGAACTCTGGGCTCTTAGTCCTAGGGTCCTTATAGACCTAGTATAATATACATTATAAAGCCCCACAAACCCAGATTGTTTGCCCTGTGAGGCTGACCTCTTTAGATATCGTGACCAGATCGTGGTCCGAAGATTCGCGACTTTGGTGGACTGACGTTCTTGCGCTGGTCATGAGCTTGCGTAAAGCAGTGTTCGCAGCTCAGTATAGCCTGCTGGGGCCGGGTGCAGAAGAAGATTCGGGCGTTGTGGACACAGAGACATCGAGCTGCCCCATCTGCTGGGCCTCGAAAGCAGCGGCCCGCGGCCCGGCTGTGAGCTGGAACCTGCTGCCCTCAACGCCATGAAAGCCAGAAAATGCAGCCGCTGCCACGTGTGCGAAGCCAGTTTGAGTTGATGTATCCGTGGAAGGCTTCATTGTCTCGCTTTGTGGACTGCAAGGCTCACCGAGCTTGACAACTATCTACAGGCTCTCGTGTCTTTATTATGAGGATGCTACCATTTGTAGTTGTGCGAAAGATGTGTCTTCCACAGCCAAGTAAGTACTCTCACTTATCCACTTCTTACTTGCAGTACACGGGCTCCACCAAGTACATGATAATGGTGCATTTTATTCCTCAGACTATCCTTGTAATTGCTACCTGCCATTTCCTATTATCACAATGTAATTCCTAGTTGACTTCTGGCGCGCGTGGCTGTGGCCCAAGGGAAGCTGCAGTTAGTCAGGGTTTTGCAGTGCACCACCACGACGCCTTCTGTTGACTCGGTGATGTCCGCCGACCAGATGGTGTGCCAAATTGGTGACTTGACTTGACAAGTGGAAGCATGCCAAAGTTGTGGTGGCTTATGGGGGCTTTTCACGAAAGGGTCCTGCCATGTAGCAAATAAGTGGCGCCCGCGCTTACGATCATGAGCGTAGAAGCTCTGTTTTGCCACCTGATGCACCATGCGGGCATGGAAGAAATGAACTCAAGCCAAAATGAGGCGAGGTGTGTGCCAGCGGCAAACCGGAGTTTGAGCAAAGCTCGCTTGGTGTTGTCTTGGACAACCTGCCGCCACCCTGCAAGCCTGACCTGGACCTGGTGGACGTGAGTCTGTGCCCGATCTACCCTATTGAAAGCGAGAGCCGTGAGGATCAGAGCTGGACGCTCAACCTTCGCACGCCTTCCACTTCTTCGTTGACACCACGATACCATGATGTGCCGCCAGGCACACTGCTGCCTCCGGACGGTCGTTCGCACTGGCTTCATGTGATGCGCATGAACGAGTTTTGCAAGGACGCCTGGTTTACAGACTGCCAAAGAACAGGCGGACAAGAGGCAGGTACTTCTGTTTTTTTCCAAAGACTGTTTCTTGCAGGATCTCGCGTCGGATCGCTTTGTGCCTTCGAGTCGATTTGAAGCCCTTGCCCTCGCATATAGTAGGCCCTATGCTCCATCGCTTCATTCCCTCCTAGCCACCAATATGGCAGTTTCCCAAAATTCAGGAACCCCAATATAGACCCCAATATACTATAGTCCTCATTTTAGGGACCCCCAGAAAGGTACCCCTAATTTTGGGAAACCCCCATATCGTAATTCCCTAAACCCTAAACCTTAGCCACCAATATCCTACACCTGCAGGATGTGACGGCCTACCCTCCGAAGTTCAAGCACACGGTTCTTCAACGGCGCCAGCGGGATCTGGATGCAACGGAGAATCATATCCAGAGTGGCTAAACTACTATTGAATAGCTTTTTGGGTTGTGGTCTTAGAGGAGGACCCCCGCCCTGTAATAGTGGCATAGTAGGGTTTTTAAGAGGACCCCAATATAATCACCTTTATCCCTTAAACTCATCATTACTTGGTGGGAGGTCCACCTAACCTGGGTTGCTGTTAAGGAACTTAAATTAAGTTACCATAATGGGTATATATAGCAAATAATAGAGTTTCCCCAATATAGTAACTTAATTTAAGTTCCTTAAATCCCTATATTTCCCCCAGTTTCCATGTCATTTTCCATTTTCTTTTCCATTTGATCCTCCATTATAGGGGGATAATCCCTTAATTTAAGTTCCTTAACAGCAACCCAGCTAACTCCTATACCAGAACTCAGACCCTTAGCTCCCAGGCGCTTTAGGCGTTGTGTAGAGGCAGGAGCAAGCTAGGGTTTAGGGTTTAGGGTTTAGGGTTTAGGGGGTCCAAGTACCCAATAATCATGGACTTACCCAAAACCTGTCCTCTAATGACCAGTACCAAAATCCCATGGAAGAGCAACCATAATTTTGACCACCACTAATTACCTTCTTTCCTTGATGTTGGGCACTTGATCTAATTTCCCTAGTAGCAACACAATTAAGGGAGCACCCCAGGTTCACGGTCTAGGATTTTGAGTTTCGGGAACTGGGATTTGGCTTATGGAATTAGCCTATAGGGTTACGTCTTGAATTATCCATCCCGTACCTAAAGCGTCAACCATAATCCCTAAACTCTAAACTCATCTAGGCGTTTCTGGGACAGTGGTAGCTGTCAGGGTGCTTTTGGCGATCCATGTTGTTTTGGGAAACCCAGAGGGCCCATGTGCCCAATAATTGAGTCCCTAAACCCTTAAACCCTAAACGCCTCAAACCAAGACCCCAAACTTTAAGCCGTAAACCTAAAGCCCTGGATTGGCAGTCGGAAAGAGGCCCGATAAAGAAAATGCCTAGAGCCCTTCATCCAAATCTCTAAACCTGAAACCTCAACCCTAAACCCTAAAGAGTAGTTTCCATTTTATTTTCCATTATCCCATATAATCCCAATATACACCCTGAAGCCCCTGAGCTAGGGAAGCTGGGTTCATGTATGGCGATGATGGCAAGCCTCGCGTGAGTCTCTGAGCTCGCATGCTCTGCAAAACCTGCAGGCTTTACGTAGAAGCATTTTGGGCAAAAAGGCGAAACAGGGAAACATGGGAATATATATATATATATACACACTACAATGGTTTAGGGTTTAGGGTTCAGGGTTTGGTCTCCAAGAGGGAGGACATTTGGTTTCGCTTGATGTTGGCATGCAAGGATTGCCGTGCTTTTCTCCAGACAGGAAAAGTTTATCACCCTATTTCTCAGGCACGGAAGCTGTGATTGTAAACGAGCAAGGGTTGTAAGATGCAACAGGTATAGTGATAGCTGGTTGTGCCTTTGATTGGCGTACTTATGCTACCCAAGAACCTCCATGTAACATCGTCTTGACTGACCTAGCCTGGTACCTGGGGCATGCTACCTCAAACCCTAAGCACGAAACCCTAAGCCTGCATCACTGCCTAAGCTTGCCATGGCGTTTTGGGGTAATCCCGGTAATCGCCAGCAACCCTGCAGTCAGAATTGCCTCCCTGTGCTGTAAGGGTTCTTATGGTTATTCTGTCTGGAGAAACCCCTAGCATGCCAGCGCAAGCAAGAGTCTGGAGGACTCTCGATGCTGCCAGAGTTTCTGCTTGTTTGGGCAGGACGACCTGGCTGCCATTTATGTTGTCCGGCTGTTGTTGCCGACTCAATGGGACGTGTGTCAAGATTGGGATGTCATCTTTTACTTCACCTTCTAGCATGTATCCCAAGAGCGGCCTAGGACGCACCAAAACTGCAAAGCCCTAACGCTTCCGCGCCCACACCACCCAAAATGTCACCGTAAATGCTGGATCCTAGAACGAGAATGTAGCCATGGCACATGTCCCTTTTCTGTGTTTTCCATTGTCACACAGTTTGGAGGCACTTGAGCAGTTGTTGCTAGGAATGATGGTGACTTCTTCAAGTGGTGTCAGACAGGATAAAACGCATCCTACTAGGTCAGCTTTGAGAGTCTATGAAAGCGATCCCTCAAAATCCTGACATGGAGCCCCGAGAATCTCTTGACTCCAACATCCCCAGGCTTTTAGACACCATGTTTTGCAAAACTTCCCAGCCTTCACAGTATATCCTTTGTTCTGATCCAAGGCATCTCACTGGGTAGTACAGGTAGCTTCAACATCAATTGCTCAAGACGAGTGCTGTTCAGTTCTGTGAGGCAACCTTTTTTTGCATGTTTAGATGATGGATGCCACAAAGAAGCCCAGTGATCGAAACCAGAGCATCAGTTTTGCTCAGCAGCTACTGCAGCATGGCCTTTTGAATCTTATTGTCAGATGCTGGTTCTGATTATTCTCATGGAGCTCATTGTGTTTTTTGGTATTATGCTTTTTGTCATTCTTGTGGTTCATTCGTTTTAAGCAGTGGTTGATTTCGACCACATGGGCAGTGGTGCAGCTAACTGAGGCGAGCATGACGTCGATAGTCTCATGCCCTCAGCCCAGTTTAGCCAAACATGTGACGTTCCAGTGATGCAGAAAAAGGCGTGCTGGTGCAGGTTAAGCGGAATTGAGAGGATGTGTGGAATCGAGCTGTGAGCGGACATTCTGATTCGTGAAGCTATGTGAAGCTCGGTGCTGAGCAAGGGCTGCTTGCCACTGTTTTTTTTTCTTTTTTGCCTGGCAAAGTTAGATGCATGCCTCTGCTGTTTTTCTTTCGGCCTCAGCGGGTGGGCGTTGAATGGGATTCACATGGATCCCCGCAGTGCAGAGGGTGTCCGCCGAAGGCTGGAACGTTGGCTTAGCAGGAAAGCCTTTATGTTGAAGCTGTCGGGATGTTGGAGAACACCCACTGTCTGATGTCTGCAACTGTATGGAGTCTTTTGTCTCGTGTCACTATTTTTTTTCTACCAAGCCTACCAGCAAGAATCTGAATTCTGCTTTCCGCACCTGCTCCTCCTCATGCTGCTACATGCTACGACGACAACGCGACGATGATGACAACAACGCCGACCTGCACGACCACGATGACCACCACGACCGCTACGACCACAAGCATGACTCTACGACCACCATTACCACCCCTACCTCCATGACCACCACGAGCACGGCGACATGGACGAGGACGAACGTGATGACGACGAAGATGGAGGCAACACCGAAGACGACCACGAAGAAGTAGCAAGACGACGAGGACGACAAGCAACACATACAACGAATCTGACCAGACAACGAAGACGATGAACATCAAGGACGATCAATACCTCAGAAGGCGACAGAGATGAGTAGTACAACGAATACAATGAGTACGACGAATGTGACGAATTTCGGATCGATTAAATAGCAATACGACGACGACAAGGGCAGCAACGAGGCGGCGGAGGAGGAGGATGAGGAGGAGAAGGAGGAGGAGGAGGACGACGACGAGGAGCACAAAGACGACGACGAACAGGAGGATGACGGGGACGAAGACGGCTTTTACTAACATTCGTATTGCCCTTATGATCACAATGACCGTTACCATCACTACTACTTACAATTTGTGAAATTGTGCTTCACGATCGCTGCACGTACTGCACGAGGCGGCCTGTGTGCTGCAGGGACTGCTGTGAGCTGGGCTCAGTTGCCAAGGGTATTTTCTTGAGAAATGTCACTTTGTAGGTTCTTGGCGTATAGGGTTTCGCAATCTGCAACTCCAGAAGTAGGATGCCTGACTAGGATCAACAACTTTCACCCTCAATTTCTTTCCATGTTTCACAGGTATTCTGTCTCTTTTTGGTGATTTTGCTAGTTTTTGCGTGATGTGCTGCGGGGTTTCACCGACGTTTGTTTCATGTTCGAAAGCAACTGAATCCTAAAAGTCGTGATGCTTTAGGAGTTGATATCACTATCAGAAGTTTAACCATGTTTGCTGTTCGTCTCGCATGCGTAAGTATTGCAGGTGGTAACGATATGTAACGATAAAGCCTATATACATTGATAGATATGTGCTTGTTATCTCTGGTAGAAAGGAGTTGAGCACCCATAGTGGTATCAGAAGTCGTCAGAACAACGCAAAACCTGTAAGGCTACCAGCAGGAACGAGCTACACTTGTTTCGACGTGGTTTCTGATAATTCGTATCGCAGGTAGTAGACTGTAGGTAGACGNNTCCCTGACAGTCACTCTTACTGGGTGGGCGGTCCACTTAAATTTATTCCTACCAGTAGTATTTGTAGTCGTTGTTTTGGTGTCACCATCGTGGTAGTGACAATTGCAAACTAGGTAGGGAAAATCCCGACTCACAACCAGGTCATATCCTAAAGTCTCTTTTCATAATACTACTACTACTACTACTACTACTACTACTCCTCTACTACTACTACTACTACTACTACTACTACTAGCCACTACTACTACTACTACTACTAGCCACCACCACTACTACTACTACTACTTCTTCTACTACTACTACTACTACTACTACTACTAGTAGCCGCCCCCCCCTCTACCAACTATGTTTGCTTAAATTGCCAGTATAAATATGGGGGAGGCGGCATTAGAAAACAGTAAGCAACATGACAACGACGTGCTTTCCACGCACGGTGCTGGTTAGTTCTCGAAGGCCTGCTTTGCGAGCCTTACCTGGACCATG